CCCGCCTGCGCCGCAGTGCGGCTGCGTGCAAAGACCCTATCCGGCGTCCCCTGCTGCATTCGCGCATGCACCCCTGCTCCTTTCCTCAACCCTCGCCCCACCTAATCCTCCCCGCCCGCCCACCCGCGCGCCGCAGGAGCGCACCCCTGTGCGGGGCGAGCCTGAGCGTCTGCTGGAACTGACTGGGCAGGACCTGATGGGGGTGCCCCTGGCGTCGCCGAACTGCCCCCATGAGAGGGTGTACGTGCTGCCGCTTCTCACCATCCTCACCAACAAGGTGTTTGGGGGATTTGGAGTTGAAGGGACAGAGGGGGGGAGGAACGAGGAGTGATGCTGAATGTGGGGCGTTGAGTGGTTGGTCCGAGGGCGTAAGTGCCGCTTCCGGCCAAACCCTTCCTGGCAGGACTCGGGGATGATGCAGGCAGGGCTCCCGCATTGCGGCTTCATAAGCGCGCAATGGGGAGACGGCGCCGTTTCCTGCCAGATCGCCTTCCACCTCTGCGCCGCACCCGTGCAGCCTGGGGCCCCCAACAAGCCCCCAATGCTTGCCGCACTGCGCTCCCTCTCTGTTGCAACAATGCTCCATCACCCCCCCCCCACCCCCCAGGGCACGGGCATCGTCACCAGCGTCCCCAGCGACAGCCCTGATGACTACACCGCCCTTATGGTGGGTGGTCGCCCCGCTCACCCCCCCCCCTCCCCTCTGGACGGGGCCTGCACCTTCGTATTCCTCAACCCCAAGCGCCTAGCGCCCATCCAACGCGCTCCCTTACCCCTAAAAATTACCCGCATCAATTCCGCCCGCCTCGAAAACGCCTCTGCCGGCTCAACTCGTCAGCTCCGCCGCCATGCTCCGAGCGCGCCGTCCCCGCCCCAAAGCAACAAAGATCCCGTCCGTCCGCTCGACTTCCGGGCCCCATCTCCCCCCAAAACAGGACCTGAAGAAGAAGCCCAAGCTGCGCGAGAAGTACGGCATCCTTGACGAGTGGGTGATGCCGTTTGAGGTGATCCCCATCATCGAGATCCCGGGGTATGGCGACAAGGCCGCGCAGGTGGGCGGGAGATGCGGATTTGGAAGGCGGGGGGGCGCGGTGGGCCTGCTCCTGGTGTGAGGCAGCGGGGCGTTCAGATTGAGCGGGCTTGGGTGGGGGACATCTTTTGTGGGTGTCGCACGGGCGCGTTGACGTCCGCGTTGATGTTCACTGACCTCACCTCTCCACTGGAAACACACAAGGCAGACAACACTTGCCCTCGTGGCCCCTGCTACTGCCCTCGATCTCCCTCCACGCACCCAACCTTCGTCCGATCCCCCCAAACCCTCCTCAACCTCCAACAGACTGTGTGCGAGCAGCTGAAGGTGCAGAGTCAGAACGACACCGCCAAGCTGGCAGAGGCCAAGGGCCTGGTGTACCTCAAGGTGATGTCATCAAGAGGGGGTGATGACATGGAGAAGGGCAAGGGGTTGTCTTTCAGGGGGGATAGGTGTCAAGGGGGTGGTGTCCCTCGAAAGCATGTGATGTCGAGGGTCTGGGTTTTGTCAGGGTTGTACGTTCGATTCAAGTCATGCCATATGGGGGTTGAGCAGTGGATGAAAGGCTCTAATGAGCGAACATGTTTCGTGGTGATGTGTATGAGGGGGGGCGCAGAGCCTCTGGGGCACCTTGGAGGTGGGGCGAGGCAGCTTCGGTGTGATGGAAGTCGACAACATCCACGTTCCAACTGGCACACTGACTGTTGCCATCTCGCGACGCCTGACTTTGCGGTTGCGTGCCTTGTGCACCTGTGCTCTGTCCTCGGTTGCCACTTGTCCGCACATGTGTTGGGGCTATCCCCTTTCTGAAGGCCCCCCGCAGCCTATTAAGCCGGCGCCCCAGCCTGCCCATGGCCGGGAGCGTGACTTGCCGCTGCGCAGAGCAGAGCCCCAGGGCCGCTTGTCTGGCGATGGGGGCTCACCAGTGCCCCCTCCAGCCCTGGATTGCGCGCCCACACCCCATAAAAGATTTGCAACGCACACCTTGCACCACCCTCTCCCCTTCCCCCGAGTCACGACTGTGAGCCACCTCTCATCGTCTCAACCGAGCCGAATCGGCAAAGCAGGCAGCACAGAGAGCCAGCACTGACGTCCTGCCCGCATCCCGCACGCTGCAACATGCCACGGTGCATCCATATTTTGCGCATCAGGCAAGCGTACGTGCCCCCACTGACGCCGACCGGCCCGCCCTTTCGTGCTGCGCGTGCGCCCCCGCCCTGGCTCCCCCCAGGGGTTCACCGACGGCGTGATGCTGGTGGGGCCCCACGCGGGCCGCAAGGTGTCTGAGGCGAAGCCCGTGATCAGGGACGAGATGGTGGCGGCCGGCCAGGCCATGCCCTACAGCGAGCCGGAGAAGACGGTGGGCGCGGGGGAGGGGGGCTGGACGGCGCCGCACCGCATCGCTGCTGCTGCTGCTGCTGCTGCTGCTGCTGCTGCTGCTGCTGCTGCTGCTGCTGCCGCCGCCGCCGCCGCCGTTGCCGCCGCTGGTGGTGGTGGTGGTGGCGGCAGTGTGGTGATGGCTGCTGTGCTGTAGCTGTTGACGACGGCGACAAGAGGCGGCCAGCCGCCGCTGTGGCGTGGGCCGGCGGGTGTGGCGTGGTCGCGAGGGGTCTGGGGGCTTCACAGCGGAGTGCGCTCAGCTCCCACGGGGCCAGTGCCCCCCCCCCCAGCACATGGTGTCACACCGCTGCCATGACCCCTGCGCGGACGCCGTTGGCGCAAACCTCCGTCCTGGTGTCGGTTGTGGCCCCCCCTAAATCAGGTGATGTCACGCAGCGGCGACGAGTGCGTGGTGGCGCTCACGGACCAGGTGGGGCTGCGCGCATTTTTTTGGGAGAGGGGTTCGGACTTGAGCAGTAGCAACGCCTTCACGCACGCTGCGGCTCGCACAGTTGCATTCATGGGGCACCCTCCAAAGCACATCACACACTCATGCGCACACGCATTC